CTTTAATTTTTTATTTTATATTTTATTTAATTTCATTTTATATTTTATTGTCTTAACGGTTGCTTAGCCAGCTAAATGGAGGCTCTGAAACCACCTCCCTTGGAGTCTCGCTGCAGAGCATCCTTCAAATGAAGCAATTTTTGCCTGGTAGGGTTAAGGCAGCATCTGGATGGTGACAGCTCTGTCACTGAGGGCTGGTGGTCCTTTTACTTGCAGGTTGCCAGGCCCTGGCTTCTCCGCAGCCAGCCTGGCTGTGGCTGGTGGCTCACCTGGAGCGGCAGCGCTCTGGGGCTGGGGGTTGGTCTGCAGAAGGGAAGATGTTCTGATTGCCAGGTTCTGCTCCCGTGCGCCGCGCTGGGGTTTCTGACCCGGTTTTGGTGCCCTGCCGCCGGGGATGCTCGGGATGGATGCGCCGCGGGGCTCTTTGGGGTCTGGTTTGAGAGGTGGTCTGAGCTGACCCCACGCTTTGCTTTGCTGCAGGGTCTCGTTTGGTGACGACGGGCACGGGCAGGGGCTGAACCCGTCCCCTCCGCTGTGTCCTGTCTGCAGAGGCCGAGGTCTGCCGGGGCATGGGCAGGGGCTTTGCTCACAGCTTATAATTGAAGGGGGCTGAAAGATCCTTGAGGAACCCTCTAGCTGGTGGTGGCCCATCGGTCAGAGAAGTTTGGGGTGCGCAGCCCCGATGCAAGAGGAGACAGGGTCGCTTGCCTGGCTGTCTCTGAGGCATCTCGGTAATTAGAATGGCCGAGGAGCGTAGCAGAGCACGCAGCTGTGGGGAGTGCGGAGAGGTGGAGACCTTCCCCATGGTCTTGGGTGGACACGGTGCTTCTGCTTGGTCTGGCATGGGCTGTGTTGCCTCCCCAGATCGGGTCTGCGGTCCAAGTGAAACCATCACCTGGCTGCCGGAGCCCGCTGGGATGGAGGTCTGCATGGTGGGCAGGGGAAAACGGGTACAAGCAGGACCTTGACCTTGGTTTTTGGGGGTGACAGCTCCTGTTCCCCTCTCCTGCACCCCTACCCTCATCCCCTGCCAAAAAACCCGGGCGCGGTGTCACCGTCACAACGCAGTGGCTGCCTGGGAAAGCAGATATTAGCAACCCCGAAATATCCCGGGGACAGGCTCTTGTGTGATGGGAGACCGTTACCATGGAAACCTCCTTCAAATATAAAAAAAAAAGAAAAAAACCCCTCGAAATTTAAAGCAGCCCTCGTAGCTCAGAGGAACTGTAGACCATATTATGGGTTTTGGCAACCCCCCCTTTTTTCTTCTGTTTGTTCCAGCTACAAGCTCTGGGGGACAAGGCGATTAATTTGAGCATCCCACGGGGAGGGCACGGCGCTGGGAACCCGCTGCCCGGGCCGTTGGTCTCCCGGCGCTTCCCTCTGCCGCTGCCTTCCCAGTCGCCAAATGCCCTCCCGTAACCGGGTTTCTCCACCGTGGAGGAAGAAGCAGGGTGTTTTTTTCAGAAGAGGTGGCTTGAGGTTTAAAATCCCCCTTCCGAGCTCCGTCGATGCGGGGTTTGGGGAGGATTGTGCGGTGTCAGGAGCTGGTGCCAAGGGCAGCGTCGTGGCGGCGGGGGCTCCTCCGGTCGCGCTGGCCGGCTTCGGTGGGCAAGGGGAGGTGCCTGGGAGAGGGGACATTGCGCTCCCAAGTTGTCTTGCTGGGGTCGACTTTGCAGCCATGGGCACAGGGTCCTGGGGTGGGGCTGAGTCCGTCTCAGCTTTAAATCACCACGGTGCTCTCAGCCCATCCGCTCACTGAACGATGTCCCCAGCGTCTGCAGCCACTCGGAAAACTCCTGGAAAAGTCAGGTTTGGACTGGAGAGCCCACCGTGCCTCCCACGACCCCGGGCCGGCCCCGGGCTCCTCTGGGTGCTGCGTTCCCAGTAGCCTCAGTGCCGGCGCGGAGCTGTTTTCCCACCCCAGAGCCACATCTCCCCAACCTTTCCTCTATTGCTCGGCCAGAAATAGCTGGGCTCTGGCTTTCGCCGCGCCGGGAGAGCTCTGGCGAGGAGCAGCGGTGGGGTTTGACAGCCGTCGCGCTGCCGTGGAGCTGCTGGCTTCCTCCGCTCTTTATGATCCCTCCTTCCTTGCTTGTCGAGTAGGTGACATCGCTGGTTAGCAGCCGGAGGACCTCAAGCTGCCCACCCCCCGCGCCAACCAGCACAAACTGGGGTGAAGCAGTGTGCCATGGGGGCTGAGCGAGGATGGACATCTCCGCATGGGACAGTGACAGTGTGGCCAACCTGGGCTGGACCCAGCCGCCTCCTTGTAATTACAGCTCAGCGCTGGTGAAGAAGGGCTTTGCGTCTCGTGAAAGGCAGCGTGGGTGCGAGACGTGGCCGCGGCAGTGGCGGGAAGGCGTTGGGGTGATGGAGGGAGGGCAGGAAAGCAAGGACCACGAGGTGGGAGGAGAGGCATGATGGAAGGAGGGCAGGAAAGGAAGGACCATGAGGTGGGAGGAGAGATGTGATGGAAGGAGGGCAGGAAGGGAAAGACCATGAGGTGGGAGGAGAGGTGTGATGGAAGGAGGGCAGGAAGGGAAGGACCATGAGATGGGAGGAGAGGCGTGATGGAAACAGGGCAGGAAAGGAAGGACCATGAGGTAGGAGGAG